CTCCTCTGGGCCTGGCCGGGGGCCCAGGTGGCTGCAGAGCTGCTCACGCCTCCGGGGGACGCTGCCAAGGGCCGCCATGGAGACCCCTGCCCCGAAGCCCCCGGAGACAGGTACAGTAGGCTCTTTCAGTCAGTGGACCTGTGGGTTTGCATTGAGGAGACTGACAGGTCAGGTTGGTTTCCCAGAGCACCAGCCGAGTCGGGCTGCTGGCTCCACCGCGCCCAGCCATTTGTTCCCACTGTCGAGCGTGCTGATGAGTGGAAGGAAATGGCAGTGTTTTCCTTCTTAACTGCAGCGTCTGACGCCGAGTGGCAGAATTAATCCCCAATTCTGTATCAGGTTTTGCCACATCCCGGGGCTCGATCCCCACCCCACCTGCGGGGGTGGCTCCTGACGCCTCTGATGGTCCTGGGCGCCAGGTGTGGAGTGGTTTTTAGCGCCGTCAGTGCACCTGGGGCTGTGACTGAACAGCCCGTTACTCATTTCTCCTTCCCAGCTCTGTCCTCTCGGGACCTTGTTCTTCTCAAAGATAATCCAGAGGATAAATGGGGTCAGGGTCTCCTGGAAGCCAGGTCTGAGGTGAGTGGCTGTCTTTTCTTACTTCTGAACATCTTGGTTTGTTTGTTTTTTAATATATTTTTAGTGATCTCAGAGAGGAAGAAAGCGGGAGAGATAGAAACAGTAATGATGAGAATCATTGATCAGCTGCCTCCTGCATGCCCCACACTGGGGATCGAGCCCACAACCCAGGCATGTGCCCTTGACTGTAATCGAACCCGGGACCATTCAGTCCGCAGGCCCATGCTCTATTCATTGAGCCAAACTAACGAAGGCTGGTGGTTTTGTTTTTGAACAAAAACAAAAGGGTTGGCAGGCTTCTTCAGGAAGCTCTGGGCTTGGAAACAGTTCCAGGTGATGCCCCAGGGGTGTCCAATGGGGGGGTCAGTTGCCCAGGACCCGCACTGTGCCAGGAGCTCCAAAGAGTGGTTTTAGCAGAGCTCCAGCAAGCAGGTCACATTGAGATCACTTTGCTCATCTCCACATGAAGACCCAGGCAATGGTGGTGGTGGTTGGACCTGCTTGGGGGAGTTTTCTGGTATGAAATCTGGTGTGGGACAGCTAAAGGAAGGGCTGTGTTGCAGTGCTGGGGTAAGAGTGATGGTAGGGGGTATGTCCCTGTGTGCTTTTCCTCTGTACTGGGCCCTTGACATGGGGCCTCATGTAAAACCTGGATTTTAGAGGATCTGGGGGCTCAGCAAGGAATTGGCTCTGGGGCCACTTCTGCAGCTAAGCAGGACCCAAATCCTTCTTTAGAGACTTCGGGTTTTGTTCCACCATCTACACTACCCCTACCCATCATAGTATTTAAAAGGATATGGTTGATAAGGAGAGTGTGGGGGAGTGAAAAGGTCTAGAGCAGTGGTTCTCAACCTTGGCTGCACATTAGAATCACCTGGGATGAGTCCCAGAAATCAGGATTTTAAAAAGATTCCCAGGTGATTCTAATGTGCAGCCAAGGTTGAGAACCACTGCTCTAGAC